AGTTAATAATTATATGAATCTAGAGGGTTCTCATAATTATAGTTTTCAATATTTGACAATATTGATTTCTAATTCTTTTACTAAAAATTATATTATTATTTAATAAATACCTTTCTACTTTTACGAGCTCATCAAATATTGTTAATACATTATTATATATGAGCTCAATTTTATTATCATTTATATTTGATTTTCTATAGCATCTGTCTAGTTTCTCCAATAAATCATAGTATTTTGTATTAAAGTTTTTATGTCTCTTATAAAGTTCATGACAAATTTCTTTATACCATGTGTGGTTAATTTGAATACAGTTATCTAGATTCTCTAACAGAAGATTTGAGATGATTTTAGCAATAGTATCTGAAATAAGAAGTGGATTGTATGTTTGCATATTATATTGTATATATCAAATGTGTAGATTTTATTAAGTAATACTTTTTATTTAATAAGTATGAGCCAGGAACCTATCAATCTACAGGCAATCATAAACGATTAGTAAAAAAGGAGTATACACTTTATAGATTTTTATTTTACTTTGACACTGCCAATTTATAAGAAAAAAAAATATTAATATAAAAATCTATTACTCAATTGTAATCTCAAGAATAGCATTAGGAAAATGGTAGATATTTTGAGTCTCATGTATATGAAAGCTCAGCAAAAATCTTCTAAACTTATGCCAAAAACAACTAAATTGCTATTGCTTTGAGCATCTGCTCTATTTCATTATCTGACCTTTTGTGATTTTTCTCCTTAGCTATATTAGAGATCATTATCTTCATATCTTTCACAATAATTTTTTAGCTTTTTAGTATATGCTTCTTCCTTAGAGAACAACTTTCTGTGAGTGTCTTAATATAGTTATTCAGATCCTTTTCAGCTCATAGTTTCTTTAGATAGTCTCCATAATTTTTTACAAGATTAGGGCAGTGTCATTTATCACCTAATTATTTTTTATTAGAGACTTACCCCCTCCTCTCTTAATATAAAAAAAATCAGATTCTTATATATAATTTTAATTTTTTTTTTTACCCCTTCCCCCTAAAAAATCACCTAATTTTTGTCATGTCCCTTATCATATTTTCTACCTTTTCACAATGCTATTTTTATGACTTTAACTTGCGCAAGTTCTATTTTCTTATAATCGACCATTCTTTGTATGCTTCTACTATAGCAAAAGAAAAACTTTAATTAATAAAAATTTTTTTTATCCAAAAAAATATTTGTTATAAAACATCTATGCCTTAATATAAAGTTTAGCTTTTTAGCCCT